CTTGTCTGCTGCTTGAGGGGTTTCAGCTTTTTTTTTTTTTTTTTTTTTTAAGGGGGGTTTCAGGTTGTCTCCAAGGCGACCTACTTTTTTTGCTTGAGTGTTGCAACTTGTAATGCTGGTTCTTCATTATTATTATTATTATTATTATTTACAGCCTCTTTCCTCCCTCCATGCCAACCAGCTGAAATAGTTGGCTTCCTCCCCCTGGTCGGTATTAACGTGTGTGTGTGTGTGTGCGCGTGTGTGTGTGTGTGTGTGTGTGGGAGTGGGGGAGGGGGGGAGTGTTGATCTCAGACGTTGCTGTTACTCGATGGGAAGATGAAAAGCGAGGCGCAGCTACTGGCAAAATGCTCGGTCTTTGTGTCAGCCAGGTCTCCACTGGCGGCCCCAACACTGCAGGCTAAACCACCTCTCTCTCTACCTGGCAATGCACTAAGGCAAGGGGCAACATGCAATGTGGCATCAGTGCGTGGTATCCATGCTTCCCGTGGTCCCTTTGTATAGTCTGCAGCCTACCTACCTCTCCTCCTAAGGCTATACAGGGGCCCCCTGTATAGCCTTAGGAGGAGAGGTAGGTGGGTAGTGAAAAGGTGAAGTGGGGGACGGAAAAGAAACGAAGCTTGTGGAACTGAAGGCCTGAAGATTTCCACAAATGCCTGGCCTGGCCTGGCCTGCCCTGGCCTGATCACCTTCATTTCGGTCAACATTCAGCCCCCCTGGTCACCTTTCCTCCCATTCCTACCTGACATCATCTGACCTGACCTGACCTGGCCTGGCCTGGCCTGGCTAGGGGTAGGCTTATTATATACAGAAAGACTACCAACGTCTTTGCCTGAACAGAACGAACCCTCGTCTTGACTGCATTGGGCCGGAAAAATACATTCATGACCAGGGTGCATGTGGAAGACGGTGGCCAGCTGGTTGGCCTCTGGGTGCGGCCACTTCAAGGCCTCGGCTCAGTTACCTGCTTCCGTGGGCGTGTACTGATGACGTACCTGCACATTTACTTGGGCAGGGTACAGAAGGTGAACCGGGCCAGGAAATGGCTCCTTCTGGGGGCTGGTATGGCCGTATCTGGCCATTTTTTGGGCCATTGTACAGACATGGCGTTGGGAGAGCCGGTACCCTGGTTAAGTTCAGGGCAACGGGATGTAGGTTAAAACTCTAGCGGCTAAACAAATATTACAAAATTTACCTGAAAAGTGAAAACTTGAAAAGTCCTAGTAGTGCCGAAAATTGCTGGAATGCCCCTGAGGTCGACTTAAAAGACGAACAAGGAGAAAGGGACAAATAATTTATTAATTTGTGAAATGGCAAGGACAACCGGCCGAGGCTGGGAATTCCTTAACGAACTAGGCTACCAGCCTGGCCGCCYGKGTCCCGGGTGGCMTGCCCGTGCAAGGACCAGGGAAGGTCTCAGCAAAAAAAAAAAAAATCCGAAAAAAAAAAACTATTCTCTGCAGAAAAATAAACCGAACAACTTTTGCCTCTAGTGTCACATCGAAATTCTTTACCAAAAAAAAAAAAAAAAAGGGACCATTACACAGCTTTGGTGCAGGCGTTGGGAATTTGGGAGTAACGCTCAAAAAAAAAAAAAAAAAAAGAAATTTGACAGCTGCCTGACCATGTCTAGAAAGAATAGACTGCCTGCTGTGCACATGCAGTTCTAAGGCCAGACCGAACTGTGAATTAATTTTATTAGATTTGCATGAACCTGGTCAAACAGCAGGTCAGATACATGGTAGCCCGACACGTTATAACTTTGTGGAACCTGGCTATGACTGTGGCATAATCCATTGCAGTGAAACTGTTTCCCGACTTTCAAACTCTTATGGATGTGCGTGCTTGCTGTTTGATGATGTAGGCAAGTCGCTGACGATGCTGAAACCATGACATGCGAGCGAGAGCGAGAGAGAGAGAGAGAGAGAGAGAGAGAGAGAGAGAGAGAGAGAGAGAGAGAGAAGTTTCTAACTCTTATGGAAGTGTTTGTTTGCTGTTTGATGATGTAGGCAACTCGCTGATGATGTTGAAACCATGACATTGGAGGGGGGGGGGGAGAGAGAGAGAGAGAGACAGAGAGAGATTTTATTTACAGTTTCACCGCCACCGTTGTACAGTTGATATTCCGTGTTTGCATGGTAATCGAGGCAGCAAAGGGGTTGAAGGGTCGCAAGGAGAGAAGGGGGGTGTCTATGGAGGGGAGGGAGTCAAGAGTGCAGCGCATCGATGGGAGGAAGGGTTCTCTATGTAGGGGTGTGAGTTGAAGCGGCAAGGATGATAGGTGTGGGCACATGTGTGCCTGCCTCCCTTTGGTGCATACGATTGTGTGCAGTGTGTGCATTGAACTTGGGCACCTTTACAATGTCTTTGGATGATGAACTGCGTCGGATTTTCTACTTTCTAGTTCAGTATCTATTTATCGACGATATATGCTCACGTGCACGTGAACGGACTTTTTGCTGCGAGTGTAAGATTCGACAGATTGAGGTGCCAACAACACTTAATCCCTAGAGTTCAGATGGCCCCGATGGATTTTCGACGGATTTTATCCGATCTTGTTGATGTGAAATGGAGGAATGTTGTAAAGCGTCGGATTCGACGATCAGACGGTAATGTGTAGCGCGTGAGAATTATGATGAGATAGATGGCGTCGACCGCTTTGACGGACCCGAAGGATTGTTCGGCAAGGTTTTGTGTGTGTCGAGCAACACAAAAGGGGTCCAAAAGGGGTCCAAAAGGGGTCAGGCGCTACAGAAGACTACCGCCGTTTCAAGGGATGCGTTGTGAAAATCTGCGGCGACAAGCAGAAGACTGAAGAGGAATCTGAGGTGAAGGGCTTAAGCGGTTCAAGAGGGGTCCAAAAGGGGTCAGGCACTCTTATTCTGTGCATGATTTTAGGCTTTTGAGAGAAAGAGAAAGGTGAACTCTCTAGTACTGTGAGAAAAGCCATGATCAGATCTCAAGAGGAGGGCGGGGGGGGGGGGGGGGGGGTTGAGTGGGCACGTCGCTCTGGCGGGTGTTCGAAGATTGGGCTGCTGAAAGACTTAGAAAATATATATGTGGTGAGTACAAGAGGAATCTTAGGTGTCTTGAAAATTTACCTGTTGAATGGTTGGAGCATATGTGTGTGTGTGTGTGTGTGTGTGTGAGAGAGAGAGAGAGAGAGAGAGAGAGAGAGAGAGAGAGAGAGAGAGAGAGAGTACAAGGGGAGAGTGTTATGTGACACTATCTCTGGGAAGAAGGTGTTGTAAAAAAACCATGGTTAACTAGTAGAAGAGGAGATTGTTCTGCTGCACTATCTCCCGGAGATGGTATCTCAACAACCATGGTTGATGATGAGTACATTGCTAGAAGCCGCTAAGGGACCGTATGGTTAACCAAAAACATAGTTAACCAACATAGCTTTCATCCAGGGTTAACCAACACAGTTAACATTTAACCTTGGTTGGTTAACCAACACAGTAAGCCTTTAACCTTGGTTGGTTTACCAACACAGTTGACCTTTAACCAAGGTTGGTTATCAAGCTTCTGATTAACCAAGATTTGCTGCCATATTGACTGTACCGTTTCTACTTCACAAACCCCCTGTACTGTTTTTTTTTTTTTTGTTTTTTTTTCCAGTTCCCCCAGTACTGTTTGGTTAACTCAGCTGGTCAGTTGCGATATTGCTGTGACTTCATCAGATCCAATGGTACTTCTAGTCATGGAAGCCTCCAGTACTGCTTGGTTAACTTAGGTGGGGTTAACTCAAGTGGTTAACTCAGGTGTAGTTCTACAACTGTAAGTCTGTAACAGTGTTTATGACACTTTTTGCATTCTATTTTGTATCTAGGAAATTAGGAATACGCAAATTGAATGTTAAAAAAAAAAAAAAAAAAAAAAAGAAGTTCGATTGACGTTGATGTCCTCACAACTTCTACATTCAACGCACATTTCTTTCTTTATTTTATGTCCATGACTCCATGATGATGCTCGTAAGGTCGTCGCAAAGAGATGTTCAGGTGGGTTTCAATGTTTTTTTTTTTTTTTTTTTTTTTTTGGGTKGGGGGGGGGGGGGGGGGGAAGAAGGGGGTTGGGTTCTGAATAAGATCTGTCACTACCTGGTCTCTTTTTATTTTAGCCTTAGCGTAAGGATGGATGGATGGACGGATGGATGGGACGGATGGAACGGACGGACGGATGGATGGATGGATGGATGAATGAATGAATGGAAGAAAGATTGTTGGTGTTAGTGAAACCACCAGTTAATACAAGCCTAAGTGATGTTCTCTCCCAAGTCTCGCGAGCCTGTGCCACTTTGCGCCTTTTCAAAGCGACCTGCTGCTTGTCGCTACCGGCGCAGGCCTGAAGCCGAGTGCTGCTCGTACTGCGTACACCAGGAAGAGCGCTACTTTAAATCTTGAAACAGGCGGCTAACTTCCCTCGGTGCCATGTGAACTCCTGGTTTATTGGGGTTCTTGTCACCCCTTTTTCTGCTTTTGTTCTCTCTGGTCTTAGCATGAGGAAGGATGGATTTTTCAATACTGATTTATTGAATTTCATTGTCGACGAGTCCTGTGCGCGCCCATGTTTCCTTTTTCTTGTGTGTGTGTGTTCTCTCTTTTTCCGTCTTGCTCCTTTAAAAACTGCCATTCAAAATGAAAATGCTACATTTTACAAGCAGTTAACCTCCTCCCATTCCCTTTTAGTGTGTCATCCTTTTGCGCAGGGGCCATGCTAATCTTCTCTGTATCGTTCCAATAAATAACGGATGTCCCAAAGGATGCACTGTACCATTTTATTATCTTTGTGATCAAACGCAAAAACGAAAATTTGTCTCCATTCTCTTCTCATGAACCGAATAGCCCCTTCAAAAAAAAAAAAAAAAAAACATGCACGCATGCAGTATTCATTTCATTGGAGTATCATCCATGAGTTAGGAAAGTGGGAATGGAACTATGTATCTGCCCATTCTGTGGGAATGGTACTATGTATCTGCCCATTCTGTGGGAATGGTACTATGTATCTGTCCATTCTGTGGGAATGGTACTATGTATCTGCCCATTATATGCAGAATTTCATTCATTTCCACCCTGGATGAGAATTATATGGCATGGCCCCTCACCATCGGGATGGGCAATTCTCATCCGGGCAAGTGTGTAGTGTGTGTACCATTATGTGTCCACTCAAGGGAACACTTCACATGGGATTAATGGCCCCTCGACTAGTTCCTAAGGGTCACACCCACCCTTTTAACCCCTGTACCCCAAAGTTCCCATCCAACTCTAACATAGGTTTCCCTTTCTTCCAAAAGAAATCGTTCATTAATTCTTTCATACATCTCTCTGGCTTCCCTCCTGCCAGCTTAGCTGGTCGTTTGTTTGTTCACCCAGCTGCTTGCCTGCCACCTGCCTGCCTGCGTCCCTGCCTCCCTGCCTCCCTGCCTGCCTCCCTGCCTGCATGCCTGCCTGCCTGCCTGCCTGCCTGCGTGCCTGCCTGCCTGCGTGCCTGCCTGCGTGCCTGCCTGCGTGCCTGCCTGCCTGCGTGCCTGCCTGCCTGCGTGCCTGCCTGCCTGCGTGCCTGCCTGCCACCTGCCTGCCTGCCTGCCTGCCTGCCTGCCTGCCTGTCCACCTGTCCTCCAGCCCACCCGCCAGCCCACTTGTCTGGGAGCACACCAGCCTGCCCACCTGCCCACCTG